AAGAGTGGATTTGCATTTCCCCTTTGGCCTTCTGCTACTCAAGCCCCCAGGGATGAGGTGACAGTTAAACCCCCACTTCCGACTAGTGGCCCCAGAGCGCTCACTTCCTTCCAGGTATTTTCCGGGATGGGGGAAGGAGTTAAAAGGGTGGCAGTTGCTAGGTTTGGGGAGAAAGGATGAGGAATCCATTTTGGAGAGAAGCTAGTGTCCCCTCACCCTGGTGTCTGAGGGTGCTCCCTACCTTCCCTCAAGCTCTCTCTCTAGCACAAGAGCTAAGTTTGCAGGAAGGAGAGTACACAGGCAGGAAGCTGCACATAGGAGCTCTTGAAATGGGCCTGCCAGCTCCCTGACTTCTTACAGGCCTAGGCCTCCATCTGCCACGGATGGATCCCCAAAGAAAGCTCCTTGGGCTTCAAGTTCTCTGTCACTACCACCATAACGCCTGCCCTCTACCCTGAAGGGGATGTCAAGAATGCGGGAGTGCCAAGGCCTAGAGGAGAGATGTTTCCGTCATATTTCTCAGAGGATCTAGCATCTCGGTGCCAGCAGCCCAGGGCAGTTTCCTCTGTACTCAGTTCCTGCTTCCTGGGATTTTAGGTCAAAGAGAAACACATCTTTAGGCAAAAGGCAGAGCCAGGCAGTATAGGACATATAAAGTAGTGGTGACCCCCCTCTTGAGGTGAAGCTGACCACTGTCTCTGCGGCTCAGTCCTCTCACCCATAAAGTGAGGGGCCATCCGTTCCCAGGGCTAATGTTCTGTATCTACCTTCCCCAGGGCTTCAACACTCTGGACCTTACACACCCACTGGTGAAGGCCTCCAACCCACCAAGGCCGAGGCAGGCAGCCACGTGCCCTCCTCAATCTAAGCCTTACTGGCTCACCCTATAGCAATTTTTACCAAGCATGGCTGTCTGTTCAGGCTCAAACAAGACTGGAAGGGGGACAGTCATACATAAGCAACAGAAATGACAGCTGACACACTGATATGAATCCAAGAGGTAGAAAAATAATCAGTCCTGAATGATTTCACCAATGATAAAAAAAAAGGAGGTTTAAAACAATGACTCTGAGCCAAGTATAGGTTAAATCACATTCAGAATCTTGTATCCAAACAGCAAGGAAATATATAATACATTTAAAATATATATATATATAGTGGCACATGCCTATAGTCCCAGCTTCTCAGGAGGCTGAGGTGGGAGGATCTCTTGAGCCCAGGAGTTAAAGTCCTGCCTGGGCAACACAATGAGATCCTATCTAAAAGCAAACAAATTTATCTCGCAAAAAATGAGAACAGAAAGATTAAAAAGACTTGGTGCTTTTTAGATTTTAGCACCAATGCTTTTGTGCTAACAAGGAAAATGTTTCAGTTTTGATATATTTGTGTATGATTGATGTATTGGAACACCTATTACCCAACAACGCTAGAGGGATGAAATTCTTGCCACATTTATCCAGAACTTACCTAGAAGTAGACAACTTTGGATAATGATAATCCCTTACACACACTTAATTGTTCGTATCTCTCAAATTGCTTTTACCTAAGTTAATATATTTGATTCTCACAACTACCCTAAGACAAAGACCACCAACTGCATCTTTAAGCAAATTATTTATTTGAAGTATAACAGCAAAGTGAAAAAATCACAAGTATATGTAACAATTTTCAGAAAGTAAACTGACCCACATAACCAGCATCGAGACCAAGAAACAGAATAGAACCATCGCCGTAGGTGCATCTCATGCCTTCTTTCACCCCCACCTGTCACAGGTAACCACTATCCTGCCAACCTAACACCTAGTTTTGTCAGTTGCGTTTCAGAGAGAAGAAACTTTTTAGAGAAGTAAGGTGACTTATAAAAGTCATGGCTAGCAGCTGGGGAAGCAGCGACTCTGCTCTCAGTTAGATACATGTGTTTTTAGCACACACGAGTCTGTGTTCCAGTGGGCTGTGATGGTGCCATCATCAAGCTGCAGATGGAGGGAGGTGTGGGGCACAGGTCAGCAGGTGCCTAAGAGCTGCTAGAGTGGAACAGAAGATGCAGCCAGGGGAACTGGAGAAGGGCTGGACTGGTTTCCCAAAGCTCTGCACAGGGATCCTTGAGTAAATCCCACGATCTCTTCCCTGGGCCATTGCCCTCACTGCCTCCATCTCTTTGGCTAATTTTAGGCTTGAGGACTGGAATGGGAGGAGTAGGGTGGTTGGTAGAGCTCAAGGTGTAGGGAAAATGTGTTGTAACCTCACTCAACAGAAAGCTAATGCCTTACACTGGTTCTGTGGAACACTCAGGAAGGGAGCAAAGCTTGCTGTTTGGGGATAACTATGTCAGAGACAGCAGCCCTTAACTGGGCGTGGGCATTTTATTTCTCGAGCTAAGGCTTCACTACTTGGTCATGGCCAAGTCACTCTAACTCTCTAAGCCTGTCTCCTCATCGCTAAATACGGAAGTTAACATGTCCCAGGGGTTTTGTAAGGATCAAATGAGACAAGGGAAAGCCCTTTGTCGACTGTAAAATATTTACATGAAAGGCTTTACTGATACTAAATAAACATGAACCACATTTTGAGACAAAGTTATGATTAATCTGTTGTTAAACATTACCTATCTGCCTCTTTTATACATACAGAGATCAGATGGTGGGGTGGCTGAGGATTGAGGAGCAGGTTGTAGCCAAGCTGAGAATAACAGGGTAGTCGTAACAACAAGAGCAAGACCTCAGTCCCCAAACCTGGTGAGCCCAGCCTGCATTTAGGCCCTCACCAGCCCATGGTCATTCTTGGGGAAACTGTTCCCCTTCAAGACCAGATGTCCTGATCCTTGCTCGATCAGCTTCCAGTCCCTTCTTGGGCTGGAGGCTGCATTCATCAGTGCACTGCCACTTAGCCCTTCACTTTTTGGGAAACCCTAGCCCCACAGCACGTGGTGGGTAAGGAGAGGACAATGGGGAATAGACAGGCAAGGCGAGGACAGCCTGGCTATTACTGTTCCTAGTCTGTCTGACTTGAATCTGTCTTTGTTGAACAAGGGAGTGGCCTTGCCCTTCTGAAGAAAGCCAAACTACTGAGCAAGAGACCAAGCAAGGACAGATATTAAGACACTGGGCAGACCCAGAACATTAGCAGCCAGAAAGGGGGTGAAACTTTGACCAGACACAATGGGCAGGACAAAGCCCTCATGGCAGTGGAAAGCGGGGCAGCAGTACCAGCACCTGAGACCCCTCTTCTGCACAGCACTTCTCACTCCCGGGGCACCTTGAACCAACTCCTTATCTTAGCTTCTTTGGGCTCCCAGTGGAGGATGGGACTCTGGCACCTTCCTGCCTGTCTGGACTGCTATGTGGCACCACATGCGGGTTCAAGGCCAGAGAAGGCAAAAGAGCTAACACAGAAGCAGCTCCCAGGCAGAACTCACTTGGTCGTCGGTGGAATCCAGGCACAGCAACAGGCCACCCCGCCCCCACAACCATCATCTTTCGCTTCCTGTAAGACTGACAGTTAGAGCACAGCTCAGTGTGGGGCTAAGGCAGACTGAGTGTGGTTATTTGTGCACACCTCATCTTGCCTCCCCTCCCCACAAATGTTTCCATTCTCACAAAGCAGCCACGTCCGGGTCAGACACCCAGGACAGCAGCTGGGGCTTTCCAAGGGACTTTTTCAGAAAGCCAGTGAAAGTTGGGTGTTGGCTGCACAGCCTGGGCACTCTTGCTGAAATCTACTTCTCCTGCCCCCCCCCCCACCACCAGGATGCAAGCTCTAGCCTGGCAGAGGTGCTTTCAGATTGAAATTGAACAGAAATCACCACCCAGGGAGCTCTTTCAGTTTGCAGGGATGGGGAAATTCTTGTAAAACTCAGTTTGGAATTGGGGTTATCAGACTATTCCCTCAGAACTTTCAAGGTATCAGAGAAAAAGGTTCTGGTTTGCAGACCTGTGGGGGATATGAGCAGCGTGGCCAGTCCCAGGCTCCTTTCCATGGGCCTGCAAGAGGAAAGGAAGAGGGGACAGACACTGGAGTCAAGTCGGCATCTCTCTTCCTTCCCACACACTCCAGGCCACAGGTAACAACAGAAATTGACTCAATAGCAACACCAGGTGGCTGAGAGACACAAAGCCCTAGTACAGGCACCTCTGCTAATGAGTCAGAGCTCACCCTGCAGTGTGGTTCTGGGCATTTCCCTCCACTATTTTGGCTGACTGTACAATTATTATATATGTTGAAAAATTACCAATAAAAGGAGAGCATATGAATTTTACCTTCTATAAGACTTATGTTATAAAATTTTCATATTGCTTCATTTCTATAATCACAACAATCCTGAGGTAAACAGGCAGGGTGTAATCATTGCCATTTTACAGGTGAACAAGAAACTCAGGGAAATCAAAATGGGCACACTAACAGGATTTCTGTAGAAATTTAAGTAAATGAGAATTTACGGTGAATTGTTTTATTCTAAAACACATAACTCATCTTGGCCAATAATGTGACATTACCTAAGGCCCCCTACTAGGCTAGAGCAGAAAAGGAAGGGCCCACCTGCTATGAAGGCCCAAAGAGAGGCAGAACAAGGCTACTTCGCAGCCACCTAAGCCCTGAGGGGCTCCAGTTAGAAGAATGTGAAATGTAAGTGGCCCAAGGTATAAGAACAATAAAAAGAAAATAGAAAAAGAAGGAAAAAAAGAAACAGTAAACATGGTTAAGAGGCAAAGGGCAACAAGAAGCCTTAGGATTTCTTCAAGAGACACAGCTGTGCCAAGTCTAGAGGGCAGGAGAACACAACCACTAGACACCGGGATTTCCAGGCTGATGGGGTTACCTAGCCTGAGGACAGCAAACCTTCCAATGAACCAAGAAAGCACATTAGAAAGGGTGTACCCCTGCAGGCTCAGAGACAGATAGCAGGGAGCAAAAGGGCCACTGCTGCTCTGAGAAGGTGCCTACAAGGCAAGTAAGCTCTTATTGTGCCCAGCTAAGAGAAAGGGAAGGAGGCAAGGCATATGTCATGGCCTTAAGAATTTTCTAGAGGTTCATATTTATTGGCATTTGATGTATAGTCCTACCCACGGGCAAGGGTGTAGCCCTGGACTATGGGTAGGAAAACCAGCATCCTACTCTTCCCTCAATTCAGTCTCTGTGAATCCACCAACCCAAATCCCTCCCACCTCTACCAGTAGTCCAAAGATAAAAATGGCTCAGGGACATGATGTGCTGCTCTCTTAACAGTCTGCTAAGTCTCAGAGTTGGAGGGTGGGGAGTATCTGAAGTTCTGCCCATTTATTCAGCAAAGATGCTGGCAGCCCTGCATCTTGCTAGGTCTTTATAGCTGTGTCTCTGGATTTGTAGGCCACTCCTCGACTTTTCAGCTCCCGCACGATTCCTGTGGTAGGAAAAGAAACAGCTCCATGAGGGAAGATTCAGAAGGATAAGATAGGTCCCTCAGCTGCCACCTTGAAGGGGGCTATAAGCAAACTGGAGTTCCTAGACTGCTCATCAATAGTCCCACTTGGTTCGCTTGTTAACCACAAAGGATCCAGGCAAGTGTTTAGCAAACAATGACATGGTAAGAATGAGAAGAAAAAGAGGGACATGTGTAGTCATCAAAAGCAAAGGTTCCAGGCTGGGTGCCGTGGTGTGCCTATAGTCCCAGCTATTCAGGAGCTGAGAGGATCAGTTGAGCCCAGGAGTTCGAGTCCAGCTTGGGTAACATAGCAGACCCTGTCTCTAAAATAATAAAAAATAAAATAAAAACAAAAAGAGCAAAGATTCTGAAGCCAGAATGCCTGGGTTCTAATCCTGACTCCTCACTTACTAGCTGGGTGACCTCGGGCAAATTTTTTAACCTCTCTGTGCCTCAGTTCCCTCATCTGTAAAACGCAGAACCTCACAGAGTTGTGAGGACTGGCGTTAATTCAGATAAAGGACTTCCACAGAGATTGGTACAGTAAATGAACGCTGGCTGTTATTATGATTATTATTACCTTGGGGCAGGCGACCAGTGACTGACACCGCATACACACCTGGCTTAAAGTTACCTGAGAGAGAAGAGAGGAGATTGCAGTGGGAGTGAGTTAAGAGTAACAACCACATGGAGGCTTAAGCTAAAAATGGAAGAAGTGCTGCAACTCCAGAAGTGCCATCACTTCTTTAGGCCACAAGTGTTAAATGACAAGACACAGGACACTGCTTCTTTGCCTTTCCTACAACCCCATCTTTATCACCCTACTGATTTAAGCTCCCCCACTGGATCTGAGGGACAGTAACAACACTACAGCCAGGCCAAGGTAAGGAGAAAGGGAGACACTTACTGACTCGCTGCCACTTGGAAACCCAGCTGTCCTCTGGACTCATCATGGCAATGATTCTAGGGAGGGAAAAGAAATGGAGAGTCAGCCTGAGCATCCCCTGCTGGAGAGGAGGGAGACCAAGGGAGGTGCTCAGCCAGCACAACGGTTCTGAGAAGAAACCTAGGAAAAAGCCAAGTATTGAGTCTCCACTGGAAGGCAGGGAAAACCGAGTTCTAATGCTAGGAAGGGGTTGACTCAAAGCTACTACTGACAAAAGTCCTTCATCCTTTACTGCCAGTCATCATCTCCCCAAAATTATTTCACTAGTCTCAAAAACCTCCTTAGCTACAGACTCCCTAGGAAACGGGACAGCTTGAACACTAGAAGGCCAATACTACTGATTACAACTAACACAACCACTAGGGGGATGGGGCCTAGTGCAAAGGGGACGGTGTGTCAAAACAATGGCACCTACCAGAAGTCACTTAGACTTGGCTGAGCTGTGCAGCCCAAAGTACATATGGGGACTCCTCTCAGAATTTCATCAGTAAGATGAAACTCAAAGGTTGAGATATACATGAAAAACACTTAATACAGAGTAGGCACTAAATAAGCATTAGCTTTCCTTATTACCCTAATAGTCCTTCCCAGGTAGCTGATTCCAGAGGACCAGTAACAAGGATATTCAAGGGTTAAGCATCAGGGTCATTTCTGTCACTTACACATTCAATCAAATGCTTATTGATTGCCTATGGTGTCAAGTCTATTCTGAGCACTGATATTTATGGATTGCCTCTTTCATACCCATCTCCTCTTCTCTTGGCAACAACCTTGGATTGTTATTTGAAGAGACTCCCATCCCATCCGAACCCTACATTCTCAGCCGTGTGCTTTAAGTGGAACTGATTCTACCTCCAGAGGTGACAAGTAGGATAACAATAGCCCCTTGGCCCTGCAGACTGATGTGGAATAGGCAAGTTAGCAGGCCAATCTTCTACCCACAAGTAGATTCTTCTCTGTCTGTCACAATCTATCTTTCTAGCCTTAGAGTCCTTGTTACCCAATCTTATGATTTATCCTAAACAGAATTCCCACTGTTCTCCAAGCATACCCTATTTTTTCCCACCCCTTGCCTTGCTCCAATCACTTTCTTTATTTGGAATGTTCTTTCTACCTATCTCTCACCTCAACTTCCTTAAAAATCCCATACTCCTCTCTTAAGAAGAAAGTGCCATCTCCTCCACTTCTGGTTGAGGTCATCCAGCCCTCCTCTAACCTTTGGCTTTTTATTTGCCAACTCATTAAGACCAAATATGCACTAGAATATACAAATAATTCCTACAACTCAACAAAAAAACCAAACAACCAGATTCAAAAATGGGCAAGGAATTTGAATAAACATTTCTCCAAAGATACAAATGGCCCATAAGCCTGAGTTGTTCAACATCACTAGTAATTAGGAAAATGCAAATCAAAAACTACAAATTGTCACCCATTAGGATGGCTGTTGTGTTGGCGAGGATGGGGAAAAACCAAAACCCTTGAGCACTGTTGGTGGGAATGTAAAATAGTACAGCCACTATGGAAGACTTGACAGTTCCTCAAAAAATTAAACATTGATACTCCAGCTTGCTTTTGATAAAAAATATTAAACATCAAATTACCATATGATCTAGCAATTCCACTTTTGGATGTACAGATGATCTTCCCTTTATGATTTTTCAATTTTATAATAGTACAAAAGCAACATACATTCAGTAGAAACCGTTTTCGAATTTTGATCTTTTCCTAGGCTAACGATACGCACAGGAGTGATGCCAGGCAATGGCAGTGAACCACAGTTACCAGTCAACCACACTAACGTAAGGGTTCTGAGCACATTTAAGGTAGGCCAGGCTAAGCTATGATGTGTGGTAGGTTAGGTGTATTAAATGCATTTTATACTTACAATGTTTTCAACTTACAATGGGTTTACTGGGTCATAACTCCATTGGGGGTTGAGGAGCATCTGTATCCCCAAAAGAACTGAAGGCAAGAATTTGAACAGATACTTGTCCGTTCACATTCATAGCAGTATTATTCACAATAGCCAAAATGTGGAAGCAAGCCAAGTACCCATTGATGGATAAATGGATAAACAAAATGGGGTATATAAACATACAACGGAATATTATTCAGCTCAAAAAAGGAAGGAAATTCTGACACATGCTGCAACATGCACTCTGAAGATATCATGCTAAGTGAAAGAAGCCAAACACAAAATGCTACATTTACATGAGGTACCTGATCAAATTCAGAGACAGAAAGAATGGTGGTTGCCAGGGGATAGGGGGAGGAGGGAATGGGGAGTTAATGTTTAATGGATACAGATGAAAAAAGTTCTAGAGATGGATGGTGGTGATGGCTGTACAACAGTGTGAATGCCACTAAACTATACACTTAAAAATAGTTAAAATGTCCACTGTTATACATATTTTACCACAGTTTAAAAAAAACCCTAATATACAAAAACTTAACACTGTATCTCTCTTACTAGAAAGTATTTCATTGTGTAACTCTTGACATCTCTACGCTATTTTACCCACAGAAGGGAGCGGGAGTCCCTTCATTCATTTGCTGGCATTGAATGGTACTGTGCTAACAAATAAACAAAGGCACTAGAGTATCTGAGTGTGCACATGCATGTGTAGAAAGTAAAGGTTCCATACCAACATCTTTTTTGCCCAATCCTTTATTCTTCCCTAAAGGAAATCAAAAAAGGAATGGTGTTGGCCCACTCTGAAAGAACATAAGCAAGTACTCAGTTTGAGCCCAGTGTATATATAAACCCTTAATCGGCCTACGGGCCAAAAGAAACTTAATAGCACCTGTTTAACCTCTAAACAATACCTTCCTCTGGCACCTACCTTGGGGAAAGAGAAGTGAGACCTGACCACTTGAGTTCCTCCGGTTTCCCCTTCTCCCCACTGGACAATCTTACCAAGGAAAATTTTTCTTGTTATACCTCTTTGAGATACCTAAAAGCATTGGCTTTGGGGAAATAATCTACCACTACTGTACCTTCCCTTCCCTTCATTTTCAAAAAAGATCTTCGTGCATTCAACAAACATTTATTAAGCATCTACCACCTTCTAGGCACTGTGCCAGGTAGTGATACATAAGATAAACAGTCTCTGCCATCAATGACCTGACAGTCTAGTGAAGCAGTGTTCAATGGAAATACAATAAAAACACACATCATTTTAAATTTTCTAGCAGCCACGTTTAAAAAGAGTAAAGGCAAAAAGACGAAATTAATTTTGCTATTTCACATCAAAATTAAGATATTTTACATTGTTTCTCATGCCAAGTCTTTGAAATCTGTTGTATGTTGTACACTTAAAGTACATTCTAATTTGGACTAGCCACATTCAAGTGCTCAACAGCTACTGTACTAGATGCATAGGACTAACATGTCTCAAAATAACTGTTGAGACCAACTAGGTTATGATCTTAAAAGCCTGCCCCACATTTACTTTTTGAGGTGGGGTGATGCAGAAGTGAATGATGGACTCTGAAAGGGGCTTACCCATCAAAGGAAGAGCTGGTGCAGTCGTATACCATCTCTCGGTTACCCTTCATCTGTAAGTATGCATCGCAATTGTCACAACCGTCGTATTCAAACTGGTCTATGGTCTGGTAGGGGGGGAAATATGAAAAGGAGAAGTAAGCATGAACAAGTCCAAAAGAAAAAGTATCTCTGCAATTCTCTGACCTGGTCAACCTCTTGGTTCCCTATGTAGGCTTTGTCTCATCAGGTCCCCCACCTGCTACTCCTAAAGGTCCATTCTTAAGTTCCACGCTCATACTCCCTCCTCTCTCGTTCCCAATTCCGTTTTATCTATTCCTTTCTCTAGTCTCCTCAGGGTCAGGCACCCTCTCGGCTCCGGATCTCCCCCCTCCTCTGACTCCCCAGTGTCTTTCGGCTCCAACATCTGTTAAAGGGCCAGACATGTGCTAAAAGGTGACGATTCAAAGGCATGTTAGACCGCCCGTGCCCTCTGCTGCAAGACCTGTCCGCGTTCCTACGACACAAACAATGGCCTCCTTCGGTTTCCCACTCCCCCCACCACCTCCTGGAGTCGGGGACCTTACTTTCCCCTTCGCTGTGCCCCAGCCCCGTTCCACCCTCTTTCCCCCACCTTGGTCCCCCAGCGCCCCTACAACCAGGTCCCCGACGGACACCTTGACCAGCGAACACAATAAACAAGCCCGCAGATGCCGCAGGTCCTTCGGTACCGTCTCTAAGGCCATCTTCTCCGACAGTAAGAACAACAGCCAGGAATACTGCCACGGCTTCCTCTCTCGCCGGAAGTAAACAGCTCACTACCCAGAATGCCCGCCACTTCTGGCGCCTCAGATTTCCTCTTCCGGTGTGGGAGGGCACCGGCACCTCCCCCCGCCCGAGGAGATGGTTTCTCCCGCCGGGGAGGCGGGGCGGCCGGCAGCCACCTGGGCAGGCGGTAGGGTGCAGGGGGCGGCCGTTGGGCCCGTCAGCGGTCCCCGTGGGGGCGGGGCGGGCTGGCTGGCGCATGCGCGGGAGCGCGCCGGGCCGGAGCCGGAGCCGGAGCCGGAGCGCCGCGGCGCGGGCTGTTTGATCTAGGCTGACGCCGTCCGTTGCCAGATAGCCGAGATTCTTTTGTCTCCCCGTTTTACAAGCACTGGGGCAGTCGCTGGACTATCTCCACAGAGACATAAAGCAAACCCAGGGACACCCCTCCTTCCTAACTGCGAGACCACTGTAGGGTTTCCATTTGCCGTCCACAGGAATGCTGGCCTGTGGGCCGACAGCGGAAAAAAATGCATATTTAATTATTTTTTAAAACTCTTTAAGTATGTGTGCCCGTTCCAGCTGATAATTTATACTTTGTGCAGCTCTGAGTATTTAGACAGTTCCTTTACTAAACATCTGTAGGAGATTAGGTGTCCTTTAATTTTTTTTCTTTCATTTCACCCTGTAGAAAGCTAAATGCTTTGCTCAGTGGGTCACAGCTGGGGCCAGACAACCACTACCCCTACCAGACCTTTCCTGGAGAAGCAGAAGGGGAAATTGTGTGGTGCGAGGAGGAGAGCAAAGGCCCTTCGGGCCCTGGGGAATTCTTCGTACCGAAAAAGCACCAGCTCTCTCTGTCCTCACTCGCAATAGCCAGGTGTGTAGGCAGAACCTAGTCATTTGTGTTTGTCTGAATGGGAGCTCTAGGATATAAATAGTTTCAGGCCCTGCTGTTCTATCTTTGCATCACAGCCTCCTAATTGAAACTGAGTTTCTTCAAGGCAGGCCTACTTCTTGTTGCCGGTCCCATGCTGTGTTTAGATAGGTTCTGTGACTGGGGTTCGGATGTTTTCCACTTTAGAACATGTTTTTTATTTTCTGCTATCTCATGTAAACCCTGCAACAACTGTGGAGTAGGCCCATTTTATGGATGCAAAAAGTGAGGCACAGAGTATTTTGCCCAAAATCACAAAGTTAAGTCACTGAAGCATCGCAAAGTGAAGTGTGACGTGAATGGTACAATAACATGACTGAACCACACTGAGAATCCAGTCATACTTTCTCCTTCCCTGATCTCACTAAGCCATATTTTTAGGTACTTACAAACCAGTTCTTCTTGCCAAGCCCACTACTGTACCCTGTCCTTTCATAAATCAGAGCCTAGCCTCTGATATCAGAAATGAAGTTGTTACCATGAATGTCAGTCATGACAGAACAAAACCACGAGACCAGACCGCATTTGTGGATAAATATATTAGCAAATAAATACATTTTTCAACATAGTGCCTGATTCAAGCGTCTTTCTGTCTGCTTCAGATATAAATACCCATGTGGGTGCTTAGGTGCTATTCTCCCCCCCACCTGAGGGAAGAAGATTCCCAAGTGGGGTGCTGTGCCCACTTTGCCCCCACATTCACATTCCAAATGGGATAATGCCTGAGGGGCCAGCAGTGGTCAGCCTGCCCTGGGGTGAATGTCATCCTTTGGAGGCCCCTCAGCCCTTGCCCACTCAGTATTAGCTGCTCAGCCCAGACTTCCTGCTCCAGCTACACTCTCGCATGCACACGCTCCTGTGGGTCCCCGGCCTGTATGGCTTACACTGGGCAGCTGGGCTTCTGGGCCCTCCGGACCTAAGAGTCACACTTTATTTTTCCTTTGTTCTCTATCTCTGCTCTGAGACAAAACTTCTCCTAGAGAAGAACTCTTTGTTGTCCCCATTCAGCTGTAATCCTGCCTTTTTTACCTTCATTCCATCCTCTCTCTTCCCCGATCGAGTCCAGAAGAAATTCTCTCCTTTGGGACTTTGAGAAAGGAGACCTTCAAGGAGGAGTTTCTCCCTACCCGCTATCCCCACTCCCAAGCTCCCGAGGAACTGGGGCTGCTGGATCGCAAGGGAGTTTGAAGATCAGCAGCTTCATCCCAGGTTCTTCAAGGTGCTGGCCCCACCTCAGTGATAGAACTCCACACCTTGGCTTCCCAGAGCCTGCACTGTGACTTAATATAGTGGCTCTGACAATTTAAGAACCATTTAAGGATAAGAAGGGGGAAACATCCTCCATTATGCACCAAGGCAGATACTACCCGAAGAAGCTTCAGAGATCCCTCTGTTTAGGGCTCAGGGCTCACCTATGCTCCTGGTCCTTTTGGCAAAGAAGGAAAATGTTAGAGCTGGGGCTGCCCCTGATGTAGCAGCTTTACCATGGAGGGGCCAAAGCTGGTGTGCAAAGCTCAGCTGAGGAAGGAGGTGATAAGGGATCATGCATTCCACTGAACCCATTGGCTGGTATGAACATGAGGCCTGGAGACCTAGTAGAGCTGGGGGAAGGAGCAGCACCTCTGTAATACCTAGTTCCCATACCAAGCTTTCTGCCCTCAAAAAACTCAGCCTTCAAGGGATCCAGCCCACACATGCACACAGGCAGTAGCTGGTTGCCTGGCTGGACACAGACTTGTTGCACTGCAGATGTGTTCTGCAGACAAGGTCTAGAGCTGGGAGCAGGAAACAGCACCTCCCGCCCCCCCACCATCACCAGTCCTCTTCCAGTGCTTCCAGAAAGTGTGGCAAAAAGACAGGTGTTTGCCAAGGTCCTTTCTTTTCCCAGGAGCAGGACTCTGTGCCAGGTAGAGCCCAAAGTCATCTGGAGCACACTCTTGGTTGGAGCTAGGCCTGAGCATCTCACACAGCCTGTTCACACAGCTCCTCGAGCTCCTCCTCTGAGCCTGTATTTAGAGAGAGGAGAGGAAAGAGATCACTGAGGGTCAGGCCAAGCTCCTGCTTCTCTCACCTGTGGGAGAGTGTGGCTGGGATGGGAACACAGACAGGGAGGAGCAGGGAATATATCTGGAAAAGGTGATTAGACTGAAAGCTGAGAAGGCTTGTGTCCCAGTTGGACACAAGGGAAAGAAAAACAAACCTAGAGAAAGAGAAACGTATAGAGCAACCAGTGTGTTACTAATACTTACTATTCATTCATTCACCCAATAAATATTTATTAAGCATTCATTGTGAATTTGGCCTGTTACCATGTGCCAAATAGAAAAACTAAAAGAACAAGCCGGGACCTGATAAGCTCATAGGAGAGAAGGTGTGTATGCAGATGGCTGTGATGCCAGCAGGACAGCGGTCATAAGAGATGCAGCAAGGAAGGGGAGGGACCATGTCCAAGTGCAGCAATCAGGAAAGGCTTCCCAGAAGTCGGAAATAAATGAGCTGGCCCTGCAGGAATAGGCAATAACTGGATTTATGGGAATAGGGAAAGCAGGAGGACATTCTGGGCTTCAGGCACTACAAGAAGTATTTACCCAATGTGGCTAAAGCATGGGGCAGGGGAAGGGAAGGGAAAGAGTGGAAAATAAGGCTGGGGAGGAAAATGAGTGGAAAATGGAGGCTGGCTGGTGTTGGAGCCTTGAAGGCCAAAGCAGGTTGGAGTTTTCCTTATTGTGGACAAAACAGAACATTTGAAGATTTCTGGACAGTTTACTGTAAAGCAGACAGTTTACCTGGCAGCAGTGTGGAAGGTAGGAGGGCAAGGGAGCCGTGCCGTACAACTCCCTGGGACACAACACTGGCTGTGCGGCACCCAGCCTCCATGGCCTGTAAGAGGGAAGGGAGAGCGGGGGGCTCCAGCGGGGCCATCAGTTCTGCATTTGAGGGGGATGTGATAAAGCTAGCAGAGATACAGTTAACATAACATGACCCTGACTGGAGGTAAGCAGCAAGGAAAACAGAGGCTCTGACACTAGTTCTGAGTTTGGGAGAAAAGGGCGGTGGTGTCTGTTGCAGGCAGCACTGAAAATACACACATGACAGGTCCAAACAGAATCGTCAAACACATGGACAAGGCTCACATCACATGGCTGTATGAAAGCAACTGTCTGCCATACTGTAACTGTTTGCATGCCTGTCTCTCCACGGACAGGGGTCTCCTGGTTGGCAAGTTCCACATCCCCAGAGCCTAGCCTGGAACCTAGCACAAAGCAAGCATACAGTCAGAAAGAAAAAAGGAGGGAGGGAGGAGGGGGGAAATGAATGAAGAAATGAATGAATGAATACTAGCAGCTCTCAAGTCCTGCCTGTAGCATTCCTGGACTGTGAGGTCTTATATTTAGAACCTTTGGGTCCGCTCCTGGGATGGAAGGGGTCCTCCCAGCTATGGCTGCAGACAACGAGCTATGCTGTCCACACAATGGAAGAAGATGGGGCAGGGTGGGAGGCAGAAGGCCCTGGGAGGGGAAGAGGAGTATTTGGGCAAATAAATACCAAGTTAAAGCTAAGAATTTACATTATCGCCATGGGTTATAATACAGGGATACACTGAGTCCCCAGGAAAATGAGGTCGGTCTTATTAATAAAGGCGCTTGGAAGGGATGTCCTACTTGTTCTTTGACCACAAGGGAAGAGCAGAAAAGCTAAGGACCCACAGAGCTGCTGGAAACCACCTGTGGTTTCTGAATATTTCTCATTATTCACGTAGCTCTTCTCATATGTCCTAGTAACATGGTTATCTGTAATTATTTCTCTTATAAGAGCATGCTCTCCCCGAGCAACACTTCTTGGCCTTCTTTGTATCGGGAGCTAACACTGAGCTGTGAGCATTGGTAGAGCTGTGCATGTGGGAGCTGCAGCCCCAAACGACCCCAAGTGCCTTTCTGATGCCTCAGCCACACTAGTATGTCCCCTGGGACCTCCCTGTGATCTGCCAACTAAAGGGGTAGCACCTGGCAAAGCCAGGGTGTTCCAGTGCTCCAGCCAACATGCTATGCTGTGCTGCTGGTTCAATATTTTGAATGTCTCCTCTGCTGTATCCTTCTCAGCTTCCATCAACCCCTTGTTGGCTGACTTCACTTTCTTGCAAGGTCCAGCTCCAGTCTCCCCTCCCTACCACATCTGCTTCCCCTGAATACTTACCAGGCTGGGCTGGCAGCACCTGGCAGTGTGGGTAAGGGCATGGCCTGCCTGCTGGGTTGTCAGAACTCCATTCAGAAAGCCCCTCCCCAGGCGGGTGTGGTCCCAGGGACCCGCGTGGAGTCAGACACAGCCACACTGGCTGTGAATTTGAGTAACAGGGGCCTGGAGCTTCTGGTAACAGCCTCCTGTCCAGGCCTGGAGGTCCGAAGATCAACGGGTGGGCCTCTGGGGACCAGGAATATGCCAGGCTGGGGCTATAATGGGGAAAAATCTGGCAAGCTGGGTGCACAGTCAAGTCCTGGGGCCGAGAGGCTGGGGTGGGCTCCGAGAGACCACCCCGCCGTTTCCTCTGCGGGTGTCGGGCAGAGAGGCTGGATTTCTGTAAGTTGAAGAGACGGCTGGGACTGGGGCAGGGGCTGGAGGCTTCAGCTGGGCCAGGGGCAGGCTCAGGGAGGGCCCTGGGCCATTGTGGGTTGGGGAGCTGCCCTGAAGGGGCTGCTGGGCTGGATCTGATGACTTGTTGATCAGGAGAAGGTGGTTCTGGCTGGGGCTGTGTCCGAGGAACAGCAGGCCTGGACTGCAGGACCCCAGTTTCTGGGCCAGGCTTCCTGCCATGCCACTGGAACCGCTTTTTATAGTGGTGGTGCCGGTGGCGGTGATAGTGGACATGGCTGGAAACCTCGGTTTCCCCTGTGGGCACCACTGAGTCCAAGGAACGGGGCCGAGAGGCTATGCTAGGCTGCATCTCCTCCCTGTGCGGATCCCCTTCAGGGCTGCAGTACACCAGGGGGTCAAAGTCACTGCTCAGGGAGCTGCGGAAAGTAGAACTGCTGCCGTGGATGCCTTGCAGGCTGATGTCTGTGCAGTTGACCACTGAGTCACTGGAAGAGCCATGACAGGGCCCTGAGCTGGAGTCACTGGCTGGCCCATCTGCCAGGTATCCACTGCGTTCTGTGCAATAGCTTTCTCCAGATCCACTGCTGTCGTGAGGTCTGGCCCGGCGTGGGGGCCCTGGGCAAGGCGTGGGGTGCTGGGAGGTGCATCGGAGGCGACTCGGCCCCCAGCCCTGTGCATAGGGGTGCTGGGCCATTGCCAGGCGCTGCTGCTCGCCTGAAGCCCGGGGATGTACAGCTCTGGGGAGGCGGTGGTGCCGAGCGCCCATGCCTGGCTCCTGGGACGGTAGGTAGGGACCAGGTCTTGGGGGCCGAGCCACTGCACTCTGGGAAGGGCCCATCAGGTAGGCAGCAGGAAGGTGGTAGTGGGCATGGCCAGGATGCTGGCGAATGAGGTGCAGTCTCCGGCCTGGTTCTTGGTAAGATCGGGAGGGTCCCAGGGACTGAGGAAATGAATCTCCCTCTGGAAAAAAGAACCGAGAGCACAGGTGTTTGACTCCACAAACCTATGGAGAATGCATTCAGAAGTGTGTGGCTGTAGCTAACCTGTTTGGCTCTGTATAGCTGTGAGCCCAGAGTTTGGGGGACCAAGGACATCCTCATCTGCCTGTGCCCTGGGACTCCCTTAGTCGGGCTGTCTGCCCCGAGAGTCCCACTGTACGTGTCAATCCGCGCTCCTCCCACCAGCCATTTGGGGCTCTTTCACCCAGGGCCACTCCTCACCCACATGGCACCTCTGGGTGAATTAGAAAAAGGTTCTCTTTCCTCGAGATATTTATTTCACTTTCACCTTTTAGAAAACTGTCATAATATACTGATTTTGTTAGAATAGGATACTTTATTGCCAGAAAATTGGAATAATAAATATACGAGTCACCCAGAGTTAGAATCAACAAAGCTGTCACAAATTTTTTTTTTTTTTTTTTGCTGTTGTTGTTTGAGACAAAGTCTCACTCTGTCACCCTGGCTAGAGTGCAGTGGCGTCATCACCACTCACAGCAACTGCAAACTCCTGCAATCCTTCTTCCTCAGCCTCCCAAGTAGCTGGGACTACACAAGACAGCACCACCACGCCGGCTGATTTTTTTTTTTTTCACCTTTAATAAATTTAAGGTATCCATAAACTGGCCATCCCGACTCACCCAAACTGTACATTTGAGAGCTCAATTAACCCTCTCTTTTTGCGAACTGGAGATGTGAAGCCCAGAGAGGGTTAGCACTTTGCCCAAGGTTACACAGCACTTCAGGGACAGATCTTGACTCCAAACGCCCCGGCATGCCTACAGCCTCCCGCCACTGGCAGTCCGGGCCCCAAATCCGGACACGCGACCCTCACCTTCCCGGGGCTGATTACAAGGAGAGGAGACCAATGGCTGGGGGGAGCGGCAAGATGCCCTCAAGAAAGGCCCTCCCGCTGCGGGCGGCGAAGGGCGCTAGGGGATCCCGCGGCCGCTGCCAACACGCGAACGACCAGGCCGCCGGCTGATTTTTATATTTTTTGTAGAGACATGGTCTTGCTCTTGCTCAGGCTGGTCTTGAACTCCTGACCTCAAACAATCCTCCCACCTCGGCCTCCCAGAGTGCTAGGATTACAGGTGTGAACCAGTGCACCCGGGCACAAAATGATTTTTAAAATAATAAAGGAGTCTACACTGTGAGCAGCCCTCTCCCCCAGGAGAGGTACTCTTAAGCAGTGCACAGCTTAAATGACTATCATGGCAGTTCTGCTTTCTCTTTTCCTTTCCCAGAGGGAAGCCACGTTCTAGGCCAGCCTGCCTGCACACAGGGGAGTCCTTGGCCCACCTCCTACCTACGATGTTGAACATGCAGAGGGGGCAAGTCCGGTGCTGATGTAGCCAGGGGTCCACGCAGGTGCGATGGAACTCATGGAGGCAGGAAATGACCCGTAGCTCCTGGAGAAAAAAGGGGGTTTCTGTAGCCACAGAGTGGCCAGGAACCAGGAGACTCCCCTGATTTCTTCTGGCCTCTCCTGCTTGCTATCACCTACTTGCAGATGACCTCACAGTAGAATAGAAAAGGTATAACCTTTGGTAACAAGCTGGATTTTGCACTTAGCTGCATGACCTTGGACAAGTTTCTTAATAGATAGTTTCCTGCTGTAAAATGAGGATAAAAAACTAATCTACCCTCATCCTTCACTGCCATGGGGCTAAAATGAGATAGCGCCTCTAAAGCACCACTGCAGCCTGGCACATGGTACACTCTCAACAAACAATAGTGCTCTTTCACTGACAGGCCAGGAAAGTGACCAAACCTCAGGGCGATCCCCTGCTTTGGCCCCACGCAGGACACACAGGACACAGATGTAGCCAGGGCTCCCATACCAGCCCTAAGCCTGCCCACGCCCACCCCAGCTTCAATCTCCTTCCCTTGTGTGGTCAACGAGGTGGACCACAAGGCCAGCCTTACCTGCCCCTCAGAGAACTCCTCCAGGCAGATGGCACACACGGGGGCTGAGCTGCAGCTGCTACCTGAGTCTGGCCACTCCACCTGGGCCCTCCTGCAGCTGGCCTGGTACCTCCTGGTGGCCAGCTGGCTGATGGCCCAGGCTGTTCGCTGCTGCAGGGGATCCTGGGTGGAGGAGCGGTGCTCAGAATGGGAGAAGGGCCCCTCTTCCCTGACCCCTGGACCCCAGACTGGACTCAGTTCCCCATCACTCAGTTAGATCACACAGCCAATTGACCACCCCTGGGAGTTTGTCTTCTTGGAGCTCACACATGGTTCTGCCAAGCAGGCCAAGCCCTCCCAGCCCACCCACCTGCTCATACCGTTAGCTTTCTTCCCTGATAACCCATGAGAGGAACTTTTTATCCAACTTCTGCTTGACATCTCAACTTGGACATCTAATAGGCACATCAAACTTAACATGCCCCAAATCAAACTCATAATCCTATTATCCTGCCCCCAACTACACCCCTGTACTCTCCCAGTCTTCCCCATTTCAGCAAATGGCAATTCTCCTCTTTTAACTTCTCAGGCCAGAAATCTTGGTGCCATCCTTGACTCTTCTGTCTTCACACCCCACAATCAATCGATTAGTAAACCTGTTGGTTTACTAATCAAAATATACCCAGAAACTATTTCTCACCATTTTCACTGCTACCTCCCTGATCCAAGCTACCATTACTGTCACCCAGATACCTGTAATAGCCTCTTATCTGGTTTCTGTTTCCAGCTTCGCTTCCCTGTAGTCTATTCTTATTATAGCAGCACACGAGATCATGTCAAAATGTAAGTCAGATCATGGTGCCCCTTCTCTCAAAACACTCCAATGGCTCCCATTTCACCCAGAGTAAAAAATAAATTGCTTGAACAGTCCAACACAAGTGGGGCCCCACCTCTTACTCCACCCTCTCTCTCACTCTATTTCAGCCACATAGCCTTCCTGCTGTTCCTTGGATGTGCCAGGTATACTTCTGCCTCAGGGCCTTTGCACCTACTGTTCTGTTTTGATCACTTTCTCCCCAGACACCTGTGCATATCACCCCCCTCACCCATTTAAGGTCTTTGCTGTAATGTCATCTTTTCCATGCAGCATTCCCTGGACTTGCTGTTAAAAATTAACCCTGTCCCCTTGCATTCCCTCTCCCCTTTGCAATTTTTTTTTTTTAGAGACAGGATCTCACTCTGTTGCTCAGGCTGGAGTGCAGCAGCACAATCAGAGCTTACTATAGCCTCAAATTTCTGGGCTCAAATGATCCTTCTGCATCAGCCTACTGAGTAGCTAGGACTACAGGTGCATGCCTCCATACCCGGCTAATTTTTAAATTTTTTGTAGAGGTGGGGTCTTGTTATGTTGCCAAGGCTGGTCTCAAACTCCTGGGCTCAAGTGATCCTCCTGCCTCCGCCTCCCAAAGTGCTGGGATTACAGGCATGAGCCACCATGCCCAGACCCTTTTGAAATTTTATTTTTCTCTGTAGTACATACCACCATCTAAAATACTATACATTTTACTTATTTGTTTATTGTCTGTCTCTTCTCACTAGAATGCAATCTCCTTGAGGGTAGAGGTTGTTGTCTTTGTTCACTGTGCTTACTCCTGCAACAGTGCCTGACTCATAGTGGGAGCTCGGTATATTTACTGAATGAATGAATGACTGAATGAGCAATATGGGGAGAGGCGGCTGGAAATCAACACAAACAAATGCGGGGGTATTTAGATGTAAACTGTTTCACGGGCACAAGGGAACGCCTGCCTTCCTCATTTTCTTCTTCCTGCTCTCCACCCTCCCACTTACATACACACATCCACCCCTCCCAGAGAGCCCACACGCTCACCGGCCTGCTGTGGCAGGGGCGGCACCGGATGCGCAGCACCGAAGCCAGGATGACCACGAAGATGGTGCCCACCACCGTCAGGAGGATCCACACGTCATAATCTGGCTGGGGGAGTAGAGGGAAAGAGTCATACTTCTGGAAGGAGTGGGGCCTACTTGGGAGGAAACACAGGAGCCCAGGAGACACACACAGACAGCTGGAGGTTCCCTTGGAAACATCTACTGAGGGGATGAGGTGGGGAAGAACATGGGAGTGGGATTAGGGGGCCCTCTCTGCCCAAGGTCACTGGCAGGAGAGGATCCTCCAGGTGTCAGCTGTGAGAAGTACTATCTGAAAACCTGTGTGCTGGGGAAAAAGAGACAGGGACCCCTCTGCCAGGTGTGAGCTACCTGCCAGTGAGCAACTGGGTGAGGTTCCTCGCCAGTAGAGAAGCACCAAGCAGGGGTCAGGGGTCAAGGTGAGGGGCCAGGGTTTCATTCTGGCTCTGCCATCCCATGCCATGAAACCACAGTGCAGAAAACAGCTTTAGAACTCATCTGGCTCCATCTGTTCATTCTGCAGAGGAGGCTCAGAGAGGAGGAGAAACTTGCCCAGAGGCACACAGCTGGTGGGTGAAGTTGGACTAGAGGGTTTCGCTCCAGGAGTCTAAGGGCTTTTGATGGGAGTTGCCATGGGACAAAGTCAGGGTGAACTCAGGTGCTGGGGCAGGGTCCAGAGGTCTGATGCGCTTACCCAGGCTGGGGGCTCCTTCAGCTCAATCCTCACGTGCGCCTTTCGGTTCTTGTACACAAACTCCATCAGCTTCTCGGCGTCATTACCCCAGATCAACACCACCGGCCAAGTCAGCCCCAGGGGCTGCTGCAGCTGCAGGAGGGAATGTGTCCACAGGGCTTCTGTGACTTCCCCCTGCCCTGAAAACTTTATCTTCCTCTGTCTAGCCCCCTCCTCCAACACGCAGATGGCCCTGGGTACCTGCTCAGCAGCAGCTCGATCCTCAGTGATGTCGAAGAGGACAGCACTGGCTCCTCGCTCGCCCGCCATCCGTGCCTGCAGACACACGGCAGAGTTTCAGCCGGAGTCAGAGAAGGACACGGCCCACCCAGGGCCCACCCAGTCTTAGCTCCTCACACATCCATCCCCTTCTAGGATTTTGTACACACTGCACCTCTGTATACTCAAATATATATATGTAGTAAGGCGTCAGTGGGTCTAGGATCCCCTGTCCTGCCCCCTGAGCGCACCAAGGCCCCACTGTCTCCAAAGGGTAACATTCAGTCTTTCCTTTTGCAATGAAACAAACCCTTAGCAAGGGTTTACTGGGTGCCAGGTGGTGGACCTGGCTCTAGGGCTAAGGACAAATAAGCCACGGCCCCTGCTGCCAGGGTTCAGTCGGTCTGCCTTCACTAAGAGGCATGAGAACAAAGAGGAGGGAGTGACCAGCACCCCTGGGAGGACAAAAGAGAGGAAGAGGGGAGAGCAGAGAAGTAGAGAGCTCCTTCACAATGGACCTGGGATTTCTAGGCCCAGCCCTGCCTCACAAGAGGAGCCTGCAGGACGTCTCCCCAGCTCAGGCAAGGTTCCAAGAGCCTGGGACCCTGCTCTCACCTAAGGCCCCCATGGCAAAGCCCCAGCCTCAGCCCATCTTGTGGACTCTCTCTCTGCCACACTCCAGTTTGCCAACTCTTTCTCTGGCTCCGGTTCAAGGACTTAGAGAAGTCTCTCTCCAGTGCTTTACCCCTTCGTCCTCTCCCCTAGGGTGGCATTAGAGACTTGAGTGGGGAGGATCTTGAGGGGCTGTTCCCATAAAGACACAACCGTGTATCTGTGCCCATGCGTGTTCACCCTGTGCCCATGCGATTCTGCTTCCCCACCAGCAGACCTGGGGAAGCAGAATCGAGCCAACCAAGCAGAGGAGATAGCAGAGCCAGAAAGAGATCAGAAGGCAGGAATCTAGGGGGTATGTGTGTGGGGGCAGGAGAGGGAGATAAGAGCTGAGGGTGGGGTGGAGGCACAACGGCTAACAACCAACAGACACTGAGGGGCTGCTCCTGGCCTTGGTGGCGGGTCTCCTCGCCCAGCACAGCCACTCTCCAGCCTTCCTGCCCAGAGCACAGCTCATCTTGTAATGGCAGCAGGCTGCAACCTCACACCCCTAGGGCCCCTGCTGAGACTCTGGGGTCTTCTTGCAGGCAGTGAAGGAGTTAACTCTTCTGCAAGTGGTGGTGGCAGCGAGAAGAGTCAGTGCTGGGACTTACTCACACTCTCAGCACTTTGATCTCTGCTTGTCTTCCCAGGGAGAGCCTGTCGGGGCACGTCTCCTGCCAGGCAGGCTGGGAGCAGCTCCTTGCTCCCGGCTCCCTGCTCCCACTCCCCAGGCAGTGGCAGGGCCCAGGGGGCCCCTCAGAACCCACCGCCTGCAGGCAGGGGAGCTGGAGGAGGGCCTCACTTTGGTCAGGAGGGTAGCTTTCCTCTTCCTTTCCTTCCTCCTCCAGAAGCTGGGCTGGGCCCTCTACCTGCACCTAAGCCGGGCCTAGGACCAGGTTTATCTAACTGACCGGAAACTCACAGGACTCCAGAATGGAATTGCTGAAGAAACGGAGAGGTCATATCTTCCATCTTCCCCCACCCACTTCTGCCCAGGAAGTCCACCCCACCTAGGCTATTCCAGGCAGGTAGAAGCTCTCCAATCTTCAGAGCCCTCCATGTGAGGGTATGGGAAAAGTACCAGGGGAAAAGGAATTCGTGGTAGGGAAATCCTACTGGTAATCTCACATTCCAGGGACTTGGCCAAGGGGTAGCAGAGGTCACCCAGTAGTCACAGAATTCGGATTCCCAGGCCACAGGCTTCCCATTCCCAGAAGAAGAGCCTGGGCCCACCTGGGAGAGCATAAAGGAGGACAAAGGCTTCCTTCTTAGGAGATTTTCTTACTTCCCCACCCCTCTTGCTTTGAAGGATTGGGGTAGGAACAGTGGAAAGCAATTACCATGACATTCAAACACCCCGGCCCATTACAGCCCATAATTACAAAGTAGTAAAAGTGATCAAAGAGCCCAGAGAGTTGGCCAACGGGAAAACAAACAGGACTTTCAGGCAGTGGGTTCCTGCATCCAGAGTTCTAGGAATAAGAAGCAAGATCTGGGGACAGATGGAAGCCCAATCTGGGGCTACTCATGCCTCCTGTCCACCTGCACCCAAGAAAGTAGGAGGCAGAGAGAACAAAAAAGTGTTTCCAGACTGGAATGTGAAGGGCAGAGAGAGTGTGGGCAGGCCGTCAGGACAGGAAGACCGGGCTTTAGAAAGACAAGCCAGAGATCCTTCTGGAAGCTTCAGAGTCAGCCAGCCCTAGGGGCAGCAAGCTCTGTGGCCCCTAGCAGCAGGAGCCATTACAGAGAGTGGTGAGAGTGAGCTGAGATTCTGTCTCTTACTCGCTGGGCTCACTGGTCAGCTGCGGCACTTCTCTGGGCCTTAGATTTTCCTCTCCTGACCACAGTCTCTGTATATTTCCTGGTCATCAAAAACTGAGCACCTACTGTGCCCAGGGCACCAAGCCAGGGAAGGCCAGGCCCTCCAAAACAGCTCATAATCTAGTTGTGGAGACAAGGCACATACGTAACATTATAGTGCTGGTAACAACAGCCTGGAGCACAAATGAATGGAACAGACAGTAGTTTCCAAAGCTTTTTTCACTTCAGAATGCCCTTCCCTTCACTGTTCCCTCCACCAACACACACAGGTCTGACACAAATCTTCAATGGGCAGAGGTATCCCCTGGTGGGAGGGAGGAAGGAGGGAGAAGAGATATAACCTGTACTGAAATACACTCTGCCTAGACGGCCTAAGTTTGAATCCTGGCTCTGCTCTCAATTATTAGCTGTGAGACTTTGGGCAAGTTACTTAACTACTCTGTGCCTCAGTTTTCCTTTCTGTACAATAAAACAATAATAGGACCCACTGCATAGGGTAGTTGTGAGGACTACATAAATTAATCCATGTAAAGTACTTATAGTAGTGCCGGGCATATAGTAAGTGTTCCTTAATTATTAGTTACTATTATATCAACCATTACTATGTGCTTTGCATATATGATTTCATTTACTCCTCACAACTCTACAAGACAGTCATCAGCCCCACTCTTGAGGGGAGGAAACCGTGGCTCAGAGAGACTGCCCAGGGTCACCGGCTGGTAAGCAGTAGAGGCAGGATTCCCACCCAGGACTTTAGCCTCTGGGGTGCCTGCTCTTACCCACCAGGTAGTGGTCTCCACAGTGAGAGACTTGCACCCATCTGCTTGTCTCCAGATCTAGCTCCTTCCACCAGGCAAAAGGCCACTGTGCTAGTCCAGGCATGAGGTGATAAGGGCCTGGCTTATCACAGGGCGGCTGTGGAGCTGCTAATAAAGAAACAGAAACCAATCTGGGTGACTGCATGGGGGAGGGGCGGAGGAGGTAGTGGGACTGGTGACAAGAATGGAAGAATCCAGAATTATGATGAGGGTTTCAGAAAAGAACAAGAGATATAACAAGTGAAAGAAAAAATACCCCAACCTTGTTGGCCATAAAAGCATGGAATGAGGATTCCAGTGATGATGGCAGTTATGGTCACTGCAATCATTTATTGAGTGATTACCACGTGCTTGGCATAGAACTAAGGGCTTCCATCTGTACTGCCTCATTAAATCCCCATAACTACTTATAAGTCCCATTACTATTCTCCTTTTACAGATGAGGACACAGGCCTGGAGAGGTGGGCCAAAATGCCCACGTCACACTGAGGGGTGGTGGAGAAGCCAGGCTTCAAACCTGGGGCCATCTGGCTTGAGAGCCCCAGCACCCTCAATGGTAACAGTACCACTGACACCCATGGGAAAAGCCACAGCAGAGCTGCACGGAGTCAGTTGTCTCCAAACTTTTCCCCACCTGAGACCCCATCTTTTCCTTACACCTCCCATGAGCCTTCCATGAGCCATATTTTTTAAAAAAATATGTTCTACCAAACTAATTACATTTATTACATACGATTCATTTCCCTATGAGGTAACTTATATTAACACATTGAACTGACAGAATGACAACCAAAAGCAAAACCAAGAATTTTAGTTAAGCCTGTGAGATTTCTGGAATATTGGAGGTGGCTCAAAGACCCACATTACCATCCTCACAGCTGTCCTTTGAGCCAGGGGATTCCATACAGGAGCTGCGTGGCTGGTCAAAGGATGGGACCTGAGGGAAGACTGGGACCTGACCAAGTGGAAGCCCCCAGGGAACCAACCTAGGGCTCAGCAATTCCCACAGAGGGACGGGGAGAAGCCAGGCCAGGGGAAGCCAAGCAGTGCAGGGGAGGAAGCGAGGGCTGCGATCACAGGGCAAGCGCCAAGGCATTTCTTCCAAACCCTTAGCGGTTTTTGTTCTTGTGTTTGTTTTAGCTCAGGCACTGTTTGGCACTTGGCATACGTTATTTTCATCCTCACAGTAATCATGGGGGTAGGACGTAAAAGTCCCATTTTATGGTGATAGAAACAAAGTCCCAACCGGATTAAGTACCTCAAAGGGCACTGGCCACATGGTCCTCACCGCACAGTGTCTGTGTGTACCCATCTCCTCTCTCCTGCGGGAGTGTGGGCCTCCCGCGGGCAAGGAGAAGAGCTCTTGGGGATGCAGCCTCACAGTTTGCCACATGTTCACGGGTGTGGGAAATCATACATTGTTTTAAAAGAACAGCAGAAACTCTGGGAGGCAGAATTTTAGATATTTCTGTGAGCTTATTTATACTTTTCTGGAAAATGTCCAGAGTAATAGGTATATTTTTTAGGTATGCTTTTATAAGAGGTAAAGAGAACAGCAGAGATTCTCTGAACCCTTCTTCCTCCATCTCTCTCCCTCTCTCTCTCTCTCTCCCCCTACTCACACACTACCTAATGCAGAACAGGCACTGAGAGCTTGTTTACCAAATGAATAAATGAATGACATTTGCCCATATTTTGTTAAGGAGGGGAAATGAAATATCCAGAAGCAAGGCAGCTTCAGCCTAACAGAATTCTGCTGTCATTTGGGCCCCTCACAGCCTTGTGGAGACACCACTCTCTCCAGCTCCTCCAAGCATGTCCTGCCCCCACCCCCCATCTGCTTCCCACCACCCCTGGGGCCCCCTTCTGCACTGGCAGGGCCAGGCTAGGCGCCCGCTGGATGAGGTAAGAATCCTGCTGTTTCCTCGAGGCCCTCAGGAGGATCAGGGGATCCACTGAGATCAGGGCCTGAGTACAATGAGCCGGCAGAGGCTGGGGCTGTCGCTGTCCTCCCTTGCCACCTCCGGGAGCACACCCATCTGAGCCACACACACTCTAGCCACACGCTACACATGCGTTCAGTTTTCACAACTAGAATGGGAGGCAACAGGGAGATGAAAAGCCTAGGTTTGAGAAACAGACAGGGCTGGGTTCAAATCTCAGCTCTACCCCTTCCTAATCATGTCATCCTGGCAAGTTACCTAAGTTTTCTGATCCTCATTTGCCTCATATGTTAAATAGGGAACAATGTCTACCTTTCCTGATTATGGAAAGTAAATGCGATAATTATGCAGAGAATCTGTCCCATGTGTACCTGGCACAGCAAGCACACAGGAAACAGTCACTGTTACTAATAGTGAAAGCAGAGGTCACCCACGCAAAGGCTCACAGGGCCTGGGAGGCAGCAGGCCCAGGGGGAATGCAGCAGAGGAGGGGGGCAACCCCAGCCCAGCTCCCCTCGGTGGGCCACAGAAACGCGGGGCAAGTGCTGCCAGAGCTGCTGGGCTTTCTTTCATTCAGAGGAGTTGAAATCTGGATTTTTATCTGGATTTTTAAACATTTGAATTTTTTTAATGTGGCAACCACCACATTCAAATTTACATTTTGAAAAGTCATTGTGAGGGCTGAACACAGCCCGTCCGCAAGGCAAACCCAGTCTGCAACCTCAGAGGAAAAGCGTGAACTTCTTCAACGTGGGGACAATGGCTTCTCTTTCTGCTGTTCTTGCACGGTACTCGGGAAATGTTTCTGAAGATGGGAAGAACGCTTCAGTGGACCCCTCTTTGCTCTAGTGCTGGGCAGGGGAAGGGGCTCAGGAACTCCCAAGTTCCCCCCCCGCCAGGAGGGGGACCCATGCAGGATGAAGGTTAGGGAGTTCTGCTGGTACTGGTTGGGAGAAGGACAGAGGATGCGCTTCCACCTCCCTCAGACCGCCACGGTTAAAAACCCTGAGGGAATCAGACGCGTCACTCTCAGGAGGGCCCAGGGGCCTCTCACAGCCCAGAGCTGGGTGAAGCTCAGGGCATGTGTAGGGTCAGGTGTGAATCTACCTTGCTGGCCAGTGACAGGCAGGGGCGGGGGGCCCGTCGGGGACTCTCCAGCTTGACGATGCTGATGAATCCAGGCTCCAGATTGTCGTCATCGCTGGCATTGCACAGGTACAGAGGGTGGGACTGCAGACAGAGACAGACAGACTTGGGTTAGGGAGGCTCCGGGGAGCAGACGGAGCAAGCTGGGAGAGCCAAGCTCTTCTACATTGTTCCGGGCAGGTCTCCCGGTGCTATGAAAGAGTGAGCCTTATTACTGGATTGCCTCACAGTAAGCTAGTAAGCATTAGTTGTCATTCCAGGCATGCCGGGGCCAAGGATAAAGGTAGGTGGGGGCAGGTGTGAGGGAGGGTGTCCCAGATGGGCCTGAATGCAGAGCCTGCTGCAGGGCAGCTTTAACAACCCTAAGCCCTACTTTTCTAAACGGGCCAGGTACAGAGGGCTCCTCTCCTGGACCCAGCCTCTCTCACTTCCTGATCCTTCTACCTGTTCCCCAAACCCCACGCGTGTCTGCATCAGTGCTCTCAGGACATTGTCTTCCTCCTTGCTCCCCAGCGGGAGTGCTGGGTGCAGCTGGTGCTCCTGCCCCCTTGGGATGCGCCAGGCAGCAGCTGCCCTGCAAATTCCGCCCCTCAAGAGGCACAGCTCCTCTCGCTGGCGCTGCCTGGCTGCTCTGCCCTGTGCCCATCCTGGGATCAAGCAGGGTGCTGACGGGGAGAAGAGACTGTCTTGGGGTTGGGCTTGGCTGAGACTTAAGCTTTGAACAGCACAATTCCTAGGAGCTCATCCTGTCCCTAGAATGAAGCTGCTCAGCCGTCTGCTCTGAGGGTGTGGCAGGGCCAGTCCAAGGCCCTGTGCCTCTAAGCTCGGCTGCTGCCGAACAATGACTAAAGGGGAGGGGGCCAACGTGCGCTGGCAGAAATCCGAGGATCCCCCTCATCAAAGGGACGAGGCACTGCCTGACTGTAACTCTCTTCTCATTCAGGATGGGAACGGCCCCGTGAATCTGATTTTCCCTGCGTATACTGTCAGAGTGCTATGAGAACAGAGTCCGACTGACTTGGTTCCGGACAATCCTGTGGGGCAGGGACTCCTGTATGGTGGAAACTCAACACATGCCGGCAAGAAAGGGATTTCCTACTAGAGGGCTGCCCATGCTTCCCTCTCCCCACCGCTGTTGAAGCCGGGGGGACTTCCAGGGAGAACCAGCAAAGGAACCTGTGAGAATCTTGAATTTATAAAGATGTTTATGAGGATAATAAGGTCAATGATGGATTTAAAAGCACAACCATTTTCTGAAAGCAATTTCAGGCTATTTCTTTTCAATGTATCGCTGCAGTCCCTTGAACATAGTAGGTTCTCAATAAATACATACCACCTAGCTTTGAACTGTATCCTGTGAATAAAAATCTCTAGGCAGAGGGTGTTGAGATGGGGGGGAGTGCCACTCTTGCTCCCAGAATTTAAGGACTCCTAGTCTGGTGGTGATTAAGGTTTAGCGTGGGAGAAAGGTTATGCAGAACCTTTGTATCCAGAAAAAGGCTGGGGCATGAGGTTGGAACTGTTCTCACTTCAGTGAAGCTGTAGCCCCTATCTCAACAAGCTCCATTGGTCTGACCGTGCATCCAACCACGTATCCATTCATTTCTTTGTTCTGCCAACAATGAAGGCCCCCTGGGTACCAGACACTGTACAATGCACTGAGGAATGAATGACAGATAGGAGAGGCTCCTTGCCTTAAAGTGGCTCAGAAGACAGAAGACAAGCATGCAAACACATTGTACTGTGATGCCAGGATGCCAGTTTGTTCTCGGGCCTGTGAGAGGGCACAAGGAGAGGGGACCAACAATCCCACATGGGAGGGCAGAGATGTTTTCACAAGACGTGACTTGAGAGCTTCCTTAGAGGCCAAGTAGACACGCGTTCACCGAGTGGACCAATAAAAGGGGTGGGAGAGGGGAGGTACATTCCTGGCAGAGGAAGCAGCTGTGCCGAGGTGCGGAGGCGCAGAGGCACGGCACGAGGTGGAGACGGACCGCAGGCGGCCAGGCCTGGCGTGAAAAGGAAGACAGCAGACAAGGCTGGAAAGACCAGCGAGAGTCAGGCCATGGAGCGTTTGAGAAGGACTCCTCTGCTTACTGCAGAGGAGAGTCTGCTGTTGTGAGGAGCCAGAAGTCAGCTGCTCCGACAGAACAAAAACCGTGAGACCTTCTCTCAGGAAGAGCAAATGACAGCCACAGAAGTCTGCGGCTTTGCTTGTTCTCCCACCCTTGCCACCGTCTGGCTTTCTCATGATGACTCCAAGACACCTCTCGCTGACCACAGGGCCAACTGGGAGAGGGGAAAGTCACTCTGGAGAAGACTAGGCCACACAGAAGGGTTTGCAAATATTTAGCCAGCACTCTGCCCACAGGCCTTCACAGGGAGCCCACTCCTGTGGAGCGGTGCTGTGCTGTACTGTAGGATACCTCGGACAAGTGGAAGGAAAAAACACCTGGTGTCAGGTCACCAGACTGGCCTGGTTCTGAATGAACAACCATGGAAGAAGGAATGGGAGGAAATTAACCATAAGTGAAAGCCTCTTGTGTGCCAGGGCTTCAGATGTCATCTCCATATGACGCGGGTGTCATCACACCCATTTAGAGAAGAGAAGCTGGAGGCTTGGAGAAGTAAAGGTGACACGTTTAGAATTCAGCTCTGACTCCATCCTCTGGAGCCATGGAACTCCAAACAGACACAGAGTCAACCGTCCACTGTCCATGCTAATGAGGATGGTAATAGTTTATATTTATTGAGTAAATACTGTGGGCCAGTGGTTGTTCCAAACACTTTTGTGTATTAACTCTTTTCATCTTCATAACAGCACTAGGAGGTAGAAACTATTATTGTCCCCATTTTAAAGATGATGAAACTAAGGCACAAAAAGGTTAAGTAACATGCCCAAGATTACACAGCCAGTAAGTGGCAGAGATCAGAAGACATGAGAAGAAGTAGGATAAGTAAAAAAAAAAAAAAAAAAAAAAAAAAAAAAAAAAAAAAAAATTTAAAGAACAAGTTACATTTGATTTTGAAAACATGATACCTTACCCCAACTCATGATCAAGAAAATTCACCTTACTAATTATATGTTCCTAAAACATAAGGGCCCAAATACAAGTCCCTGAAATGTTGTGGTGACCCCCAGGATTCTTAGACCCTCTTCTCTTTTCACTCTTCATGCTCTCTGCGTGACCCCAGCCAATCCCAGGGCCTCCGTGTCCACACAGAGATTGTTGATTACATACGTGCAGCTCAGTCTTCTCTTGAGCTCCAGACTTTACACGTCCAACAGCCCCCGGGACATTGCTACCTGAAGAACCGTAACTGAGACTCCTCAAACTCAGCATGTTCAAGACTGAACTAACCCTTCTGCTCCCCAAAACTACTTCTCTAGTGTTCCCTGTCTTAGGGATTGGAACCACTATCCATCTATTCCCCAAGCCAGGTGTCCTAATCTCCTCCATCTCCCCCCCACCACCCATATTTAATCAGCCACCGAATTCTAATAATTCTACCTCCTATGTATTTCTCTTCTTTGTCCTCTTTCTTCCACTCTCACTATGGCTACTCTGATACAGGCCACCATCACTGCTATCCTGATTTACTAAAATAACTTCCTACCTAGGTCACTTCACCCCACTCAGTGCACTATATTGCAGCCAATGTGGCCTAAAATGCTAACTTGAGCATGTTACTCTTCCACTTAAAGCTCTTGCAAGACTCCACAGACCTCTTGGAATAAAGTCTTAAATAGCTTAAAAGGCCCTGCCTGGTCTGGGGCCTGCCTTCATGCTTTGCCTCCTGGCTTAACATTCCCTTCCCATATCTCTGCCCCCTTCACAAGCCATGCTCAAGAAATAATGACTTGTTTCATCTCCCTAGACACTTTTGGCACCCGCGGCTCTGGCCTGCCTTTCCTTAACCATAGACTTATCCCACTGTATTGTAACTGTCTGCCCACTTCCCACTGTCCCCCAGACTATGACAGAGTCTAGCCTGCCTCACACTGCCCCTCCAGCGCCTGCTACATAGTAGGTACTCAGTATTTGTTGATTAAATATTGGAGGCCTACAACCAGGTAACTGATAGTTAACTACAAAGACCACACAGTGCACACCCAAATCCTGATAATGGTTGCTTTGGGAGAGGAATTAGGGAGGAGGTGGTAAAGAGGGACTTTGAATACTTTGATCATAGGATAATATATTGAGATATTAATTTGAGTTTTTTGCTGTAGAAGAATAAAAAAGAATGAGACATATTTATATCTTGTTCCATGTCTTTTCCCTCCTTCTGTTCCGAGCAGGTAGCCTCACCATCTAGTTCCTTGCCTCAGGGGCATTTGCCAAAAGCAAATGTTTCTTAAAGACCTTCCTTCCTGGCCCTGGGGAGAAACGGAACTCAATGAGGAAGTGAGTGTCCCAAGGCAGAAAGGAGTGTGTGTGGTAGGGACAGGGGTCAGATCTCTAGAACGCTGAGGGATCCGAGGGAGGGGTGTGGGCATGTGCCCAGTAGTGGGAATCTGCAGAAGGGCTGGCCCCGGGAGGCTGACCCTGGCAGAGATGATGTACCCACGTGGATTTCAAGGGAACACTTGCGTTTGCCCAATGGACATATCTGTGGTGACTAGTATGGACAAGTATCAGAGGGGTCCCTCGGATGTTTTAGTTTTTATAAAACCCTGGGACTTTTGTGCTACTCTGTGAGGGGAAGCTCCCTAGAAAACAAATTTTTAGCCACCTAGTGGGATAGGGCCTTGGAGTTAAATGTGATTTTAAAAAAATAATGTGATATTTCTTGTACAGTCACATTTGTGGCATGACAACCATACTCACTACACTTTTGTATGGTTTGACTCTTTTATTAATACAACGGGGGTTTTTCAAGTATTCTCAAATTAAAAACAAAAAACAACCATTCGAACTGGGACTCTCTTGATTACCCTGGCACGGCAGTGTTGGTACGCCTTGGGTGTGACACCCAGGCTGTCTTTGCCCCCTACTCCAGGGCATTTTCAGCCAGGAAGAGGGCTCCCGAGGAGAAAACAGATCCAAATGCATCTGCCTCCTTGGGGTGCAAGATCCC